AGCAAAGACTATCTCCCTTCCTAGGAAGAAACTCTCTTGATATATAAATAAAAGATCCAAAGTAAATATATTGCAATAAACAATAAAAAGAACGTCTACAAATAGAGTAAGAAACCATCATAAGTTATGGTTCCTTTTACCTTGATTTTGTTTTTCAGGGATCAAGCTAGATGCCTGTTGGAGCAACAATAAATGTTGCTCCTTTTAGTAGAAGCAAAATTTTACAGTGCCAAATGACAAAATGGGAAATTAATGACCATACCATATACTGGCTTAAAGTGAGCCAAGATGGCTCCCTGAAATTATATATCAACAAGGAGACATCTATGGCTCTGGTCTCCAGAGCAACTTTACTCATAGATGCCAATTCTCCTTGGAGAGTCAAAACCGCCATGGAAGAGGAGGGATCTTCTTATTGTGCTGCTCTATGGGTGGTGCTGCTCCTCTGCTTCCAAATAGGCCACAAACCAAATCCTGCCCCTAGCAGCTTCCACACTGTCAGGTGACCTCCAGTGTCAGCCTAACTGTAGATCAATCACAAAGTGTACTCACTTCTATTATTTCATGACCACATGAAGTCATATTATCCCAATTTTATTGTTTAGAAAACTGATGTCTTGAGAGGTTAAGTGGTGGTATCAGGCACAAATCCAGTTTTTCCAAGCCTTTTCTAAGTACTGTGGTCTCTGAACTAGAGCATAGCTACTTCTTGAGAACTAGAGAAGGCAGTGAAAAAAAAGGACCCCCCCCCCAAGTTCCAGGACCCCATCCAGCCCAATCTTATAGGTAGTGTTCTGTTTAAGTCTTGTCTGAGAAAAGTAGGGTTACCCAGCTGCCTGCTCTTAACAGTCTGTGCAAATTCAAAGAAAATGGAGGATGAGCTCAAAGAACTCACTTGAAGAACAGAAAAGCAGCTCCTCTGCCTGAGATTATGGGATGTGAAAGCTGAAACATAAATTCAAGGGCTTGCTAAGGTCCCTAACACATCAAATATTTCATTTTTCTTTCTTTTTTCAATAAACACATCTTCCTCCATTGCTATGTAATTCATTGGTTGATTTGCGTGGGACCCATAAGCAGCACTGTGGCCCTGAAAATGAAATATTAATGACCTCAGCCTTACAGCCATCTCTAGACATCTTACAGAAAAGCAGAAAGCACTTGTGGCAGTTTGTGTATTAGGGTTTCTTTCTTAACCCTCCTCTGTCTGGTCAGGCTAAGGAAACAGAAGTTTTTATAATGATATAGTTTATCTTTAAAGCCACAACCCAAAAACCTGGGGTCCTTCCTATGGTCATGATCTTGGGAATGAACTCCTCACTAGTCTTCCTTTGCTCTCCTTGTATGTTGTAGACAACAACTCACATTCAAGTCATGCATCCTGTGGGCAGAAAAAATCATTTCATTTCAATCAGCACTTTTGAGGAGCAGTATGAGTTCCACAAGAAGTTTGGAGGGATTACTCAAGAGATAAAGACAGACCGAGTAACAAGTGTGAGGCAGCACTTATATATCATAAAGCACTACATGCAAAGACAACTTCAAAATTTCTACAAGCAAGGGGCTGAAGAGTAGTGATCTCATTAGGAACTTGCCTGAGGCTGTATTTTCAAAATGGGAAGATGTCAAAATGGGAAGCTGATTGAGATGATGGGGAAGGAAGGATAAATCCCTCCAAACCACTTTTGCCTCTGCTATTGACCGCTCAAGTCTCAAATATCCTTGTTTTTATAAAAAAAAAAAATATATCAAGGAGGAAACTAACAAATAGCCAAGTAATGAGTCAAATGTTTGCAAATATTATCTCATTTATCCCTCACAGGCTGAAAATAAACATTAGTTCTCCTGGGAAATCACATGAAAGAAAAGTCATCCCCCAGGTCATGGGAAGATGTGGCTAATTGCTGTCCTTGACATAGAAAGAATCAGCACAAGGAACAGCCTGCACAGAGCCTGAGAAAGGTATAGTCCAAAGGCAAAGCCCTGGCATACTTTCCTATCTTCCACCTGGGCACCCCAAGATTGGCTACATTTGTGTTCAAATTCTATCTTGCTCCTGCCATGTGACCTGACCAAGGCCAAGGTATGCTGCAGGTCCTGACTCTCCTAGACCAGGCATGGCATGGCTTCTAGACACCCACTGCCCTAAGCTTCTATACCATCATAACTGGTTCCCTCCCCACTACTGTCTTCTCTCTCTGGCTTTGATTTATTATTAACATTGACTCACTCCTAGTCAGGCCTTAAGGAAGGTTGCCTTTGCCCATTAGCAATCAACTCTTAAAATTGCTTCTAACCTGTAGCAGATATAAGTCATAATCATAAACATAAGCACATTCTTGGGATTTTTCAGAATGACTTGCTGAATAATTTGGGAGAGCTCAATAGCAATTATCTAAGAAGACAGGCTTCTTTGAGCCTAGCTAATTGTTCTCTTGCTATTAGTGCAATTTTAAGCCCACAACACTTTCTCCTGCCTCAGAGCTTTTTCTTACCATGAACTTGTTTTTTTATATATATAGAATAATCTTTCCCTATACATGTCCCCTGATACCTGGTGTATCAGGCAGAGGACACTCTTGGAGTGGTGATTTGAGAGAATCTAATGAAAGTGGCATTTACAAAGGTATGGGCAGGTGCTGTGGATTAAATTATGTCTCTAAAAAAAAAAAAAGAAAAGATATGTTGAGTTGTCACCTCCAGTGGCTTGGAAATTGACTTTATTTGCAAATAGGGTCATTGAAATTAATATAATTGGTTAAGATGAGGTCAGCTGGAGTAGGGTGGGCCCCAAACACAAAATGACCAACATCTTTATGAAAAACAGTCGTGTGAAGACAAAGATGGAGAGAGAACACAGTGTGACCAGGAAGGCAGGGACTGAAGTGACACACCAAAAGCCAAGCCAAGAACACCAAAGATTGCAGCAAAGCACCAGAAGTTCAAAAAGGGACAAGAAAGAATCCCCCTACAGGTTTTAGAGGAAGTACAGCCCTGCTGACACCTTGATTTTGGACTTCTAGCCTCCAGGACTGTGAGGCATTACATTTCTATTATTTTAAGCCACCCAGTTTGTGGTTCTTTTAAGGCAGTCAGAGGAAACTAATGCAGCTGGGTTGTGGGAAACGAAAATATGGTAAAACATCCTGGGTCTGACAACAAAGAAGCCACTGCCACCCTAGTCCTGAGGCGTGATGTAGAGGAGCTGTTACTGGATGCTGCAGGTGTAGGAGAGAAGCTATAGCCTGCAGTTGAGGAAAGCAGCCTCTGCCAATATGCATTCCTGCAGGAAGTAATGGGGGGTAATAACAACGCACCTTATTCTCCTCCTCTCCAATCTAAGTATCTCGCAATGGCATACCAGAGAGCAAGGGAACCAGGTGGATGTTGTCCATTAAGGTCAGCCTTCTAGAGTAAGAACTAGAGTAAACCTGAAGGGACAAAAAGACTCCATCTAGCATAGCTGGGTAACTTCTGCTTTGGAATTGTATCTGCAAAGTCACTTCTTTAGGGAAGCCTTCCCTTACCAGATCCTGGCCCCAGCAACATGGTCTTATATTACTTCTGCTTCTGCGCAGTACTTATCGAATATAACAGCTGCAGTGGAGGAATTCATTATGCAAATTATGCATTAAGTGATGAGGTCTTGTGCTAGAACATAAGTTTTATAAGAGGAGAGATAACATCTGTCATTTACCAGTGAGTCTTTAGGATCTAGTGTGTAGTAAAAATTACAAAATTATAGGATGTGCCAAGAGCTAAGAATCTGATATAAAAAGATAAAGTATTTGAGTCCAGAGAAGCTGCCCTCAAAAACTCTCAAAGAACTATAGAGAATGAGCATCATTGTGTTCTTCAAATGAGCACTGATGATGGAATTTATCATTTCAAAGAATGAGACCACCTTGAGTACTTACTAATGGTCCTTTAGGAATGGTTGTAGTGGGCAGTTGAACAAATGAGATGATTCAAAGGTTAGGAGAGCAACTGCACCATGAGATCCAGCAAACTTGAGCTTGCTTCTATCTGAATTTCTTCAGGCCAGTCTGGTCCCAGTCACATGGGGAAAACAGGAAAGTTTAGCATGGGAATTTAGGTCCTGCAGCTAGCCTCAGATGTTGGGTGCTGCCTTTGTTCCTGCTTCTTTGCATATCAAAGAATCCTCCTCCCCCGCTTCTGCGGTACCCTCTAGTTTCCATTATTAATTTACCTGTTTATTTCAAAATTGCATAGATTATTGTTCTTGAAATTCAAAAGTGTTGGTTCCAAAAGTTCAAGCATGCCTCTGTTTTGAAAACATAAATTTAGGCTGTCATAAACTGGAAGATAGTGGTGGTTTCTAAGTTTTTTAACAATATTTGGCTCTATGTAATTCAACATAGGTGACATATCTTCAAAAAAGACAGATGAGCTCAATAAAGATCAGGAAACTGGCTCAAATTTGGAGACAATATTTCCTTTGCTTGCTCTTTTACACTTGGGTGAATCACCCTTATGCAGCTATCCAACTTTGCCTAGAGGGAGTTTGCAGTCAACACAAAATCATTACAACACCCACAGTCCATCGATCTCCTTATTTGATGGTTCTTTTGATTACAGCTGTAAATATCAATAATTCTTCTTGGCATTGAGTGTGACATCACCACAGAGCACATAACAAGTATATCTAACATGAAAATGGAGCATAATATCAAACGTAATTTCTAGGGCAGGAAGCAGAACCTTATTATCAATCAAATAAGCTGTCTTTACCTTTTTTCAAGTGTCCTTCCTTATCTGGACCACATTATCAATCTTGAATGTGGTATTATCATCCCAGTAACAAGCTATAAGCTCTGTGACACTTTTGAGATTTGGCATAAACCCCTCATGGGAAACAGAACAGCTGCCGACAAGGGCTGATTTCCTCAGTCCCACATGTGTCACAGAGAAGGTGTTGACTCAGAGGAGGCACCCTGCAGAGGATGAGTTCAGAGGCAGAGCTATCTCTGAGTGGAGCCATGCAGAGGAACTGCTCGCTCATCTATCTCACCCTTTTCTGGATAGGTAAGGTAGATCCTAGAAACTCAATCAAGTAAGATGAACAACAATGAGGCATCAAGAATGCCAGGGCCTAGAGTTCATGGACAGTGCCCCTTACTTGATGATTGTAGTCCCAGTCCTCACTGAGTCCCTGTCATGTCTTTGCTTTCAGGAGTCATGTCAGCTGTCCAGTTGGAACAAGACCAAGAAGTGACTGTGTTCTTGGCGATGTCTGCCACCCTCAGGTGCTCCTTGGAGGGAGAAACGATCAGTAACTACTATATCAGCTGGTACAGGCAGACCGAGGGTAACACAATGACTTACATACACCGAGAAGGGGGAATGTATGGCCGTGGTTTCTTCGGCAAGTTCCGGGCTAGCATTAATAGTTCAAGCAACAAGGCTGAGCTTGAGATCCTTAAAGCATCAGAAAGAGATGAAGGAATTTACTACTGTGCCAGCGACTACCACCCTGCTGCTGGCCCACTTCTGAGCAGCTCAAAAACCATAGAGATCTATGTAGAGCAGCAATTCCAACAAGATCATGATTTCCTCTTTAATAAATAGTTTAAAAAACGGGGGCCAGAGAAGGCTGATTTTTCTTCACCCTTGGTCACTCAGGAGCTCCCATGTTACTCAAAGAGGCAGCCCCAGTGGGTGTGGCCCAGTATGGGACAGGAGGAGAGACAGAGCCAAAGTCAGGAGCATTCACTGTACACTTTTAACAATTTTCTTGAAACTTCATAAAAGATTTGGCCCCATACTCAAAGTGTTTAGGGCATTAGATTAAAGGGGCACTTTCTAAAATATGACTACAGGTAATGGATGACCAGTTTCTCCCCAGTCACATACACCATGAATATAGCTGTTCTGGAAGAGGGGGGTGGGGGGTAAAAAGAATCCCTTTCTTCAGCATCAACAGTATGCACTGCATGCCATCTTGCCCAACATGGAAGGCAAGATTCAATCTCCGGCATTCTGTATTGTTTTGATGATTACTGACAGAATATAGCCTTTTGACCTCCCTTCCTTCTCTACCTCTATCTATCTGTACTTCTATATATGTTAGAAATAAATCCTGGAAAATTTGTTTCTTATCCTTCCGTGGACAACTCAATTTAAACTCCACTTTTATCTTAAACAATGTACTTTCCCAGACTTAGATGATTGACAGACTATTCTGAGGCTGTACCTGTGGCTGTCCTTCTGGCCTCATCTAGAATTATCTATCACTAACCTTATAAAATACCTCATTGGAACGTTCAGTGGTGATGGATATGTTCAGTAACTTGATTATGGTGATGGTTTCATGGATGTACAGGTATATACAATTTATCAGACTGTGCACTGTGAATATGTGCATTTTATTGCACATCAATAAAGTCAAAAATATTTTTTTTAATTTAAAATAAAAATAACTGCCAAAGCCTTATTAGACTACTCCAAGCAATGTCTAAGGAATACTTTCTCCAACTAACACTTCTTATCAAAGATTCTACTTTCCACAGAAGTACAAAAAGACTAACAAGTTTGCAGACACACACAGTTGGTTCCAGTCAGGGCTCCTTACTTGTTTCACCAAGAGTATTCCCAAACCTCCCACCTCTCATGATTCTGCCTGGGTTTTCATTCATAGATAGATAGATAGATAGATAGATAGATAGATAGATAGATAGATAGAAGATAGATACACACATATATGCACATATATACATAATGTATAGAGTTATAATGTGTAATTATTCTGTGCATTTTAGCCATGACCTCATGAGCTCTTCTCATTTATCTCCCCAAACAGGTACATTTCCAAGAATCTCTCTTTTCAACTCTTTATCTCAAACCCACTCCCTCTGTTCTAGTGTCCTAATTCCAACATAGGCCTCTACCTGGCCTCTACCTCACTGCTCCACTCTGTTGAATGGTTTCTCTGGTAAAACTGCCTCAAGGCTCTGAATATTGACTCTGTCCTTATATAAAATCAGGTTCTCAGATCCCCATCCAGATTGGGCATCTTGAGCCCTACATTCTTAGAAGGAAATTTGGATCCAACTTTCCTGGGATGTATCCAAGTTACCACCCAGGCTCTATCATACTCATCTAGCCCACTACCTGCTATTCATATCCTGTTGTTTTTCTTTAAATCTATGCTAGCTTTAAAGGAGAAGAGCACTTCCAAGACTGAAAGGGTACAATTTTCTCCCTGTTTGAAATCATGACTTTGGAAAAGAAATGACATTTGGAAGCTGATTATGCAGATGCTGTCAAAGTTTTGGTACCATGCTGTTATAAGGTTTGCAAGATGGATTCTTAGGAGGAGACCCAATGGATCCTCTGACAAAAACTTGGAAAAATGTGTTTTAGGAGGAAGAGGAAAATATCTGGGCAAATTCATAAAATTGTATATTAATTGTGATAACAGTTAGCATCTTGCTATTGTTGCCTGCTATAGTCCAGGCACTCTTCTGAGCACTTTACATGTATTCTATTATTTAATCCTCTTAACAATTTTTATTTATTATCCCCATTTTATAAATGAGGACATGAAGGCACAGGAAAGCTAAAATACTTGCCCAAATTTCCAAAGCTAGCAAGGGAAGACAACAGGTTTCAGACTCTGGGTGTGCTAGAGGACACAGCATGATGGGGGAGCCATGGACAAGGCTACCTCAGGGATCAATAGGGCTGAGGACCACCAGACCTGTTCAAACGGATGCTCCTTCCCATTTGTCAAGAAATTGGGATAATGAAACAGTGATCCAGATGATCTGTCAAATGTTTTCTAACTCAGAGACTTGGTGATCCTGACCAAGTCTCTGAGTTTAGAAGACAGTGTAAAGTTTATGACATAAACTTTACACTGTCTTCTATTATAAAACCATCTAGGGTGAGGGTTAAGGCTAGGAGTAAGCCTAGGACTATGATTACAGTTAGGTTTAAAGTTAGTGTTAAAGCCTGAACTAAGGTTCTGCTTAGGGTTGATAAAAGAGTTCCAACTTCACAGTGTTGTTGTAAAAAGTTAATGACAGAAAGTAAGTAAAATGGGTGGCACATATAGCGCTAGTCAATAAATGCTACATATTAAAAAAAAAAAAAAAAGAAACTAAACAATGAAATAATTGAGGAAAAAGTGAACTAAAATACTGAGTGCTGACAAGATGCAACCACTTGTTTTTCATCTTTCCCCCCCATTTTAGTGTGGTAACACTAGTTAACAAAATTATACAGGTTTGGGGTGCACAATTCCACAACACATCATCTGTATATTGTATTGTGTGTTCCCTATGCCAAGTCAAATCTCCTTCCATTAACCATTTATCCCCCTCCTTTCTCCCCACAATCACCACACTAAAGATGCAACCACTTTTCAGGTGTGGACTTACTCAGTCCTTATGACAACCCCATGCGGTTGTTATTCTCAGCTCCATCTTACAGATGGGAATACTGAGCCTCAGGGGGACTAGGTAGCTTCCTGAAGGTTACAGAAGCAACGCTAAGAACTGGGTCTGAGTCAAAGGCTGCCTGTCCTGGCATTGGGCTAGGGGCTGTGGGATATACTATAATAATGCATCACCTGTAACAATATCAGAATGAAAGAAGAGCTGGGAGCAGGTGTGTAAAGTCCAATCATCTGTGTGATGCAGCGGGTGCCTTTGACTCCTGGGCCATCCCCACAAGGGGGTGGGGGTGGAAATAACTAACTCCTCCTACCTCCCAATTCTCCATCCCCTGCTTTCAAACACCAGTTGCAATTTCAGCTCCCAGGCTGCTCTCCTGAGATGCCTGGACTGAAGGAGGACAGCGGCTACCCATGACATGGGAAATGACCCCCATACCCCTCCTTCCTAATGCTTGTGGAAGGCAATACCTTGTCAGACTCTCTGGGTCACTAATGCAATGACTGCCTTCTGTTTTACTTCTCAGGGCCCTGCCTACAATGGCAGTCCAGGGGTCTGTGGCCAGTGGGATGAGAGCTAGAGAAACTCCATGGGTCTCTGACAGGTCCACAAAATTGCTAACCTTACCATCCACAGTACAGTGAGGCAGAGTGTCTGAGTTGGTCTCTTCCATTCTCTGTTTTATTATTACTTTTACTGGTATACCAAGGCAGCAAAGGCCTCAAGACCTATTGTCCATAGTTCTCTGCATTCATAATGAGCAAACTGATGCCAGAAAGCACAGCAGTGAATTAAGGTGCAGGAACCACCATGTGAAAGAGATTTGAGTTCAAGCCAAACTTAGCCTGTTTCAGAGGGAGTCTGAGCCTGCTGCAGTGTCTGACAGGAGTGAGGCCTGATAATCTGTCCACACTGACAAGATGAAGACTCTTCAGAATCCAGGCTTCTTTCCTCCTCCTCCTAAAACAGTCTATTGCCTCCAAATGTTGCTTGAAATGACAGGAGTATGCATCTCTGATTTTTTTTGCAAGATACTTTATTCATCCCTCTTGCAGATACCATCCCTCCTCTCTGCTTAATTGTCCCCCATAGCATTTATTACTATTTGATGTGCTATATATTTTACTTCCTTATTTATCTGTTATCTAGCTCTCCACTGGAATTCAGCTCCATGAGGCAGGGATTTTGTCTGTTTTGTTTACTGCCTTACCTCCAGCACTAAGAATAAGTCTGGCACAAAATGGGCGACCAACAAATGTGTGGAATGAGCAAGTGAGTGAAGCATTGAATGAGTGAGTACTATATTCCCTACCCTGCGCTGGAAGCTGGGGATGCAGCAGTACACAACACTGGTGCTAGCATTGCCCTCTGAGATGCTTTCTCTAAGCCTCGTCTAGCCACTAACAAAATGCTATTGACTGTAACAAGAAGGTCTGAAAGGTAACTAACAGAGTACTCTAGAACACCAAGTTACTTAACCCTTGGCAAGCAGACAACATGTGCCTGTGTTCCTTGCACATCCCCCATGGCAGGAGTAAAATGGGAAAGACAGCAGGCTTTCTCTTTTCACTACCTTTTCTTTCCTTTTACTCCCAAGGCCCCAGGTCCTGAGGCTTGGACTATCAGAGATCATTTCTACTTTATTTTTAAGGGATTTTGCAAACTTTTTCTCCAAACAGACCTGCTGGGTAAATTAAGCCACAATAACACCTTTCCTAAACAAAGAGTAATTCCTAACTGCCCCTCGTTTCCCCATTCACCACCACCAAATGATTTGGGCGTTCTTCAAGAATGCAGAATCTCTGGGTTCTTTTTTTTTTTTTTTTTTTTTTTTTAGAAGTTCACACATACACAAATGCATTATGGATGGTAGCGGTATACAGTAAGTAGTGTGTATCAAACACTGAAGGAATTCTCTGAACGCATATCCCAGATTCTCAAGAGCTCCCAAGAAGCAACATGCCTGGTGACAGGACAAAGGAAACGAAACCAAAAAAGCAATTGCTTTTTAAATAAGGCAGTTTCTCAAACTGTGTTTAAAAAAGAAATCTAATAGCCTTAAGTTTTCAGTTTATTTGCACACATGTGGGAAAATAGGAAAGTTTAAATTATTATTTTCTGCGTTAAGGACAAAAACCTCATGAATACTTATAACTTTAAGAAAAAGAAATG